TTGTAAAAATTTAAAAAATATACATATAGACTAATTGATCGTAGTAGGGGCTCGTAGTAGCCACGCATATACTGAAGATGTGTGCACAAGCCCGATTTGATTAGACAATTAGTTTTTGAGATATCATGGGAACCAATTTTTTTTTCATGACCTCAGTATTGTATATTGTATACAGCGTTTATTAATAGTTATTTTTAAATACAAATATTTTGAAACAATATGTATAAATATGTAGGAAAAAAACCCGTCTCAAAAAACTTTATACTTTCTTTTAAAAAAATTCGTAAAATATAATCTAATCTAACCTAAACTAGTTACCAAATTATAAAAACTACTGACCTTAATTTTAATATTTTTGGGTTAATGAAATAGAGTACATTGTGAATTTTTATTATTATTACTGCATTGTTTAATACCACACCTAATATAACTTTCCTTTTTTTATTCATATTTTAGAAATACTTAAAACAGTTTACAAGTTGTCTTCTTTTATTATTAAAAAAGTATTAGACTCTTAATTGAAATAATACATCAATTAGATATAGGCAGAATCGGCAATTAAGAGGGAAGGACTTCTTCGCGAAAAATTTCTATGTAATTTAAAGTTTGAATAAATTGAAAGAATTTCATCACGCCTTAAGATCTGCGTAAGACTTAATTGCCTATTCTATCTATTTGATTCTTTTATTACCTAACTATATCTTTCGATCTTTAATACAGAATTGGTACAATGAAATCAATGAATTTAATGTACATACGAGTCGAATACAATGTTTTAAATAACAATTTGTAGAAGTGATCATTATTTTCTGATGCAAGTTGTCTATGCACATATATATATGTACATTTCTGTCGTTTTGCATTTCTTCCATAAGCTCAAAACAAAAATTGTGTATTGCGACGATACCTGCGTGAACACGCATTTTTTTCGTGGAGTGTCCTAAAGCTGCGCTTATTTTAGATTCTCCACTTGGATGCTGCACGTATCTAAAAATATCATTTTATCCTTTTTATTCACCGAATGTTGAACAAGAATAAAATGATACACGGCACTCGGGTGACGTTTCAAATGCAGTCTTAGAGTTAGATGTACTTATGTGTTGAAGACAACCAATCTCTATCTTTTTTTCTCTTTCATTACACCGTTAAATAGAAAGAGACAGAGACTGACCATCTTCGCGTCCTATTTCTCTCATCTTTGTCAACCAATTTTACGCACGGATGGCGCAGTCAATGCTCTATGTGTCTTTGTACTGAATTATGATACTACTGGAGCACATGTCGCTAATCAGTCAAGAGAAAGCACATGATATAAAGACATGTCTTTATGCCATGGTCTTGCACAAAACATCTATAACTGCGCACTATACACATGCGTATTGCGAATAAAAAGAGATTTATAGCCTTCTGGCAATGAGAATTCTGTTTCTCGGCAGATTGCGCGACTGTAGTAACTATATAAGTCAGTGGATATAGTCACGATACCCAAAAATTCAATTGTGTAACACAATTTGGTGAAGATTACAAAAATGAGCAAATTTATCAGAATATTTATAATTTTATATTAGTCAACACTTTTATATAATAAATGTGCTCACTTTTATAATTTTTACCAAGTTTTACGACGTACAATAACTTGAACTCTAGATAGCATTCACATATATTTTATATGCATTTTTTAAACATATCTAGAAATATTTTATAACTGTTTAGGAAACGTATGAAAAACGTGTATTAAAAAGAGACAAAGGCACACAAAAACAATTAGTAAGCGCGCCATTCCAAGATTATTATATTTCGACAGATGTTCCTTAGAAGTGTCTTGCAGTATGAATACAAAGTGTCTGATAATTACCGTGTCATCTGCTTATAGTTCCGATACAACATTAAACAGAAAAATCTTTTATCATTTTGTGCAAATTTTTTAAATAATTAATAAAAAATTTATTTAGGAATAGATATATATACATATATATACAAAACAAAAAGAATTTATATATAATTAATTTTTTGTTTGTTTTAATGTAACTTTTGTATCCTAGAAATATTTAAATATAATTAAACTAAATTTATATTTTTCTTCTTATAAAACGTTGTATTAAAGAATTAAGGAAAAACCGAGAGGGTAACCACTAAGAAAATAAGTGTAACACCTGGACTTCGGATTTCAAGATTTCAACGGATTTCACGGATTACGCTGAATTCCGTTGGACTACGCCGGATTTCATCGGAATACATTGGACTTCAATGGATTTCGCCGGACTTCATTGGACTTCATGGACTACGCGGACTTCACGGACTACGCTGAATTCCGTTGGACTACGCCGGATTTCATCGGAATACATCGGACTTTAATGGATTTCGCCGGACTTCATTGAATTTCACGAACTACGCTGAATTCCGTTGGACTACGTCGGATTTCATTGGAATTCATCGGACTTCGCTGAAATTCATTGGACTTTGCTGGACTTCATCGAAATTCGAGGAATTCATCGGACTTCAAGGAATTCAACGGATTTCTGACGGGTTGTACACCGGAATTCAAGAGTGGTTACCCCCTCGGAAAAAACAATAAAATAAAAATACAGAATTTTGGATTTTGAAAGAAAGAAGAAATTTAATATATTATTCTTGCTATCAGATATAAAAATATTTTTACAAAAATTTATAGTTAATTTATGAAACGCTAATTTATGAATTATTTATTATTTCAATAATCTCAGATTGCTGAATAGTAGATTTTAATAATTATTAAAATCATATTTATTGTTGTCACTTTTCTTTTCTTTAACATATCTTCTTTTATATAATGGTTATAGTCATTTATAATAAATTATTAAATGATAAGATTGTCTTATTTTTTAAATAACATTCTTACACACACACACACACACCTGTCTCTTATACACAT